AAAGATGAGAACTCCCCGTGTAACACTCACTTAAGACCTAAAAGGTTAAGAATATTACTGTCATTATCCTACATCCGACGTGAAATGAATGCAAGCTAACAAGGCATTGTGACTTAATCTTTAATGTTTAAAGTGTAACTTATGCTATAAAAGTCTAAAATTTGACAAAGTAGGTCCTATACTTTAACTAAAAGGCATTATAAATTTTTTGAGTCTTAGAATTTTAAATTAGTTTTTCGGATGAGAATAACTAGATTCGTAACAATCAATTATCCTAAATTCTTTTCTTATTAGTTTATGTAAAATTATTCAGTTATAACTCATCATTATTATTTAATTATTTACCTTTTTCTTTAATTACCCTTTACTTTATTTGGTGTATAATTAATTATATTGTTCTACTATTCTCAAGTACTAACATCCAATGAATAACTAAAAGTAACTACATTGACTATGAGTATACCGCCACTTTACTCGTTGGTACTTTGGTTATATACAAACCGCTATTTATATACAAAACCAGTTTATTGCCAACTACTACAAAATTGGCTTATTGACTAACTCGTATTATTTTAGAGGTGCTTCATCTACTTGTTCATTGCTTTTAACATAACATAAAACGATCCTGCTAATCCTAATACATATAGGACGAGCAACTAGTAACGAGAATCAAAATAGCATGCAAGCGAGTCAACTCGAAAGTCGAAATCCCAACCAAGATATATACATCCGACGCATCCCTCAAAAATCAGCTCGGTGGAGAAGTACGCTATAGTACCTTAATTATCTATATCACAAGGAACTAGGTGAGTAACGAGTCGATAATTTAACTTATGCATGGCATGCATGTACGTGGATGTGTATGAGTGAAAACATTAATATGCATACATTAAATCTTGTCTTTTCATGATATAAATACTTTTCATAAAATTCCTTTCCATCTTTGAACATGTCATATCATAGGTACTCCCGGGTTTTCATAACATGTTTGGTGAACCAAATCAATCTATAAACGCACCTCGTCGAGTCTCTAAAAGTGCAAGTCTACACTTACCCCACTCTAAACCATTATCATTATCGTATGAAAAATCCATGAAGTCCTTCGTCATAAAAATCCTTTAAGGTCATGAAAACCGCATTTCTTAAAATATTTCCAATTTTTAAACTATGCATGTTTTCATGACTTTAAAATATTTTTCATAAAATTAGGCATGCATAAGCATTATATTGGCAATGAATAAATAATATGGTTTCATGAAATGCATGTCATGAATCATATGCAATTATGTAATGTTAATAGATAATTCAATAATATAAGGGCATTAAAAAACATTACCTTACATAAAATCATTTCAAGCCATACAAATAATCATAATACACAACATAAACATCATAATCCACAAATACCAACATTGTCAATTACACATTACATACACATCCCAAACTCATCATTTAGCATTTAAGAACTCAATTACACATTGAAATATATAAATCAAATCATCTAATCCTAATTTACATAACTTGGCCGAATGATAGCCCATCCAACTCTAACCATCTTCTTCCAATTTTAACATTCATTTCACACATAATTCTTCTGACTTTAACCCTAATTTCACAAGCTAACTTAATTAAGTGTGATTAATTAAATATATGCATGATTATCACTTTGGGCCCTTATTAGGCCTAAACCTTAACTTCACTAATATAGGTACATTTTAGGTTCTAATAAAAATTTTCATTCTCATTCATCTTATTAACTACTCTAAGATTAAACTAACTAATTAAAGTATTAAGGACTAATTAAAACTTAAACCCTAATTATCCTTGCTTTAGGTCGACACTTACCCTAAGTAAAACCTAATTATTTTCTTCCCATTTCCTTATAAATTTTTAACACCAAGTATTTTAGACATGCATTAATAATAGGAATCAATCTAATTAATATTTGTGGAACAATTGAATGTCTAAAACCAAAGTGGGCCTTAATGGGCCGAAATTGGCCCTAAGCTAATTTAGGCAAATTTCTTCAATTTTATTAGAATTTTTCTTTCCTACTCATCAAATTATACTCATTCAATTACTAATTGACTAATAAATCATGAACTGGATGGATGAAACCAAAACCCTAAAATTTCAAATTTGGGTTGAATGTAACCTTAAGAAATTCATGATTTTTTCTTCAATTTAATTGATTTTTTTATTCCCAAAAACTAATTCACACCTAATTAAGTCATGATCAAGCTCTAAAACATTAATTGCATATAAGGATAAAAAAACCCTAATTTCCCCTTTTTGGCCGAATGGATATCCTTGAATAACTCTAGAAATTTTTGAGTTTTAAACCTCAAAGTTAAGTTCAATTAGCATATTTAAACCTTAATTTCATGAATTATAAGCTTAATTTCATTTCCTCCAATTTTATTTTACTAAGAATCCTAATCTTAATTTTTAAAATTAAAGCTATAATTCACAAATTAAAGCACATCAATAAAAAAATTAACATTAATTGAACAACCCTTGTCTGTAGGTGGAGTTAACTTACCTAATTAAGCTCCAATTAAACCTTAAAAGTGGGATGATTGAGAAATTTCTTCCTCCCTCTTGTCTCCACCAATTCCGCCTAAACTCTCAAATTTCCTCTTGATAATTCTTGATCTTCTAGCTTGATTTCTTGGCTTGATTAGTTGATTTCAAGTGTTTGGAGGTGATTTAAGTGGATTTTGGGTGGAAATTCTTAAGGAAAATTTGCAAGAGTTTCCTTTCGTTTGAGCTAATCATGCATTTTCTCTAATTTCTTGCACCCCTATTTATAGACAAATTTTTCATGGACTTTTGACCTCATCTCCACCATTGAATTGCTGTATTTTGGAGTAATCCTAGCCCTTAAATTAACTTTTAATCCTAGCCCTTCAAATGGACAAGTTTTTAGCCTTTAACTTTTCTTTAATCTTTAGCCTTCCATTTTGCATCCTTTTAGCCTTTCTTTTTTAACTAAGTCAAAACTTATTAATTAACTCCTAATCATGGAGCAAAATTTCAACTGGAAGGGTGGAGAAGTGTCCAAAAGTTTGCTTAATTTTAGTCTCTCATTTTACTAATCTTTTCTTTAATTACTCCTCCTATCATCTTTTAATTTTTCAATTGACCACTTTAGGTCCTTCTCTTAAAGGTATCTTAACAACTTTTAAACTCCTTAGGTTCATAGCTAATTTAATTTAAAAGTTCAAACTTTCAATTTTATGCAATTAGGTCCTAGATTCTAAAATTTTATTCTATGCTTTTCCAAAACTCAATTTCTCTTCAGAATAAATTCAAAAATTTATTAAAAGAATTTAATCATGATTGACATAATTTTTATACCTTCATTTAGGCCTCCAAATTAATTATTTAGTGTAAAAATTACACTATTTCCTATGAGAAATTTTCCTTATATATAGAAAAATTCGTTTAAATTTATCGGATGCTCCTAAACACCCTAAAGGATTTTTCTATGTCCTTTTAAAAAATTCCTCATACTTTTAGTGCTTAATTTAATTATTCTACCTCTAAAATACTATTCCTACACATAAAAATTCAAATAACACATTCACATCATATCGGAAAATTCATACAACCACATAAAATAATTTTGTACCCCTCTAATAGATATTGTAAGCAAACAAAATATTTTCATGAACATGCAATATGCTCAAAATAATTATTTCATGTAAAAGTTCTATTCACACACCGTAAAATCAATAAAATATTCATTAAGTATAAAAGGACTATTTAACTACTCTAAATATTCTTTCAAGCCCTTGAAGTTTATGTTATGCCTTCAAAACATTTCTCACATGTGTTAAATATTTTATTTTTTTATTAAATTTTAGTTTTAACGGGTATCGATTATTATACTTCGTTTTCAAAATTTGGGACTCGTGGAGAGAGTTGAAGGAGTTCCAAAGATTTTTTATTAGGATTTGAACAACTCGGATTGTGGCCATGGGTATGGTTTTAAGGAGAAACTTGCCATCTTGAAATTTGAGTGTCTCTGTTTGTTTTTTTCATTTAGTTTAGGATTAATGGGGTTGGGTCAATTAAGCCTTTTTCCATCTTTTAATATTAAACTAAGATTTAATGTTCTAGAAAATCATGAACTATATACTTTTTAATGATTTTAGTTGGTTCTTTTAACTTTGGATAGAATGATCATCAACTAAGTCTTTGATATCAATACTAGTACAAATATGATTTTTCGACTAAAATTTTAGGCAATGCTACATGACAGGTGACGAAGAATGACAGTTAGACATTAAATGCCATGTAGAATCCATGTAGGGAAGAAAAAAACCCCATCTTCTTCTTCTTTGTGCATATCTTTAATATCTTATGTTTTCCCCACTCCCTGGCTAACAAAGTTCAAGCACGTTATCATCAACCCAGGACCAGAACATGCAAAAGTAAAGCAAAAAGAGGGATGAATTACTCAGTGGGTTCTATAACCTTAAATTTATAGCACCAAGATTAATGTTTAATTATTTTTGCACGGCGGAGAAGAAACTGAATCCAAAGTGGGGTCAACTTGGAATTATTATTTAGCTTTTGGGATGCAAGGGTTTAGGTATATAATATTTTAAAAGAAAGAGTCAGACTGTGCTAACTACCGATGGTCATTTCCTCCTCATAATGCTTCCTTCCGCTACAGAGGAGTTTGACCCTTTTGAAGGTATAATAATCAAAGAAGAATAAGAATATGGGTATAATAATGTTTGCGCGACAAAGCAGTTGGCCATCTGAGAGCACAGGATTCCAAGAGTCAGCAAGATAGAGTTGATTAGACATAAAACTAATGGGATGTCTCCAATAATTGAAAGTCCATCTCTTTATCTATTTATGATATGATTTGTATATTGAAATGGGTAGCCAATAAGAATCAATTCCCCTTTCCCTTCTCCTTGTTAATGCTGACTACCAAAATTTCAACGTTGTAGTTCAGCAGCATGGTTTCTGAAGTAAGGAAAATGAGAGGACAGCCAAGCGAAATTGAGATTTTTCCTGAAAGGGATGCATGTATAAGAGAAAAGGCAGCAGAAATTAGAACACCAAGGTTCAGGATTGAGAGGGAGAAGAAATTGAGGAAAACAGATCTAAGGGTTTTCGAAAAGCAGCAGTTCAAATTTGATGGAGAAGAACCATATGAAACAGAGAGGGTATCAAAAGAAGAGACATCAAAGAATATTTCTGAAATGGAATAAAAAAGAACAATTGGGATGATTGAGAGAGAGGACTGTAAGCACCTTATTCAAGAAAAGGTTTCTCTCTATCTTTCATCAATGCAAGAGATTCCTATCTAAACAAGACTGAAAAAGAGATTGTGTTTGTTACTCAGAAGGATAGTGATGGATAGTCTACTGAAAATTTGAGTTCTGAGTTGCAAAAGTTAAAAGACATGAAGATTGAAGAGTTCAAGTCAATGAGGGAGAAATACAGGAAATCTCAGCATATAAGCAGAGAATTGCAAAAGAAAAAGAACAGTAAAGTGAGGGCTTTTTCTCCAAGAACAGCTTCAAAAGTCGAAATCGGCAGAATAAAAGCAGTTGAAGACATGAAGAAAGCCAAGTTGAAAATGAAGAAAAAGGCCTGGGAGAAAACAATGGAGGGATTCACTAGGCTAGAGAATTTCGTAATGGTGAAAAGCTCGTTTGATCCACAGAAGGACTTCAGAGATTCAATGATTAAGATTTTTGAGGAGAAAAGAATTAGCCGACCAGAAGAGCTGAAAGAACTCTTGGCATGCTATCTAACCATAAGAGATGATCGAGGGTTTTTCTCTTACCCCACGTAGATACTACGTGGCATTTAAAGCGCAATTTTTGTCCCAAAAAAAAAATAAAAAAATTATTCTATTATTGTCATGAAAGATTTAGTTGGTGTCCTTTTTATTTAAAGTTAAAAGAACGAGTTCAAATCAATAAAAGGACGTATAACTCATGATTTTCTGAAACATTAAACTTTAGAGTAATGTTTTTTTAGTATTAAAAGAACGAGTTGGTGTCCTTTCAATTTAAAGTTAGAGTAATGTTTTTTTAGTATTAAAATTATTTAAAAGCTTTTTTTTTGTTTGATTGTATACTAAAACGATTAGGGCCCACATCACCACTTGTTTTTATCTGATTGAATATTGTTAATTTTAACTTGTTACGTAGCATGAATATTTAACAATATTATAATGAAGGGTCTCGATGAATAAATTTGTAAGAATAAAAAATTTCAATTAAATTAAAAAATAGTAAAAAGTCTTAATAAAAAAAAATTAAAACTGTACGAAAATCTATTTATTTATAATAGAGCTACAAACAAGTTGAGATACAACTAGTCGTTCGATTTAAACTCATTTGTTATAGTATGATGAGTAATGAGTTTATATGAGTCTATTTTTAAATTTAATGTTTAAACAAATATGAGTTACCTCAATTAGACTTATAAACGAGGTGGTTTAGAAACTTGCAAGTAAACTCGTTTAGAAATTTGCAAACAAACTCATTTGTAAGCTTGTGAAAAAAAAAAAAAAAACTTATAAATGCTTTCGTAAAGTAAACTATTTTAATGTTTAATCAAATACATTCTTTTTATGAAATAAATCTAGCAAGGAATTGAGATCTAGCGGAATATGTATTTACATATTTGCATAAAATATATTATTGGATTGTTATTTATTTTACTTTTTTTTCTTTGAAACATATTCATAATATGTCATGAAAAATTTAAATAATAGAAAATAAAAATTTTTATATTTATTTTTATTATCTTCAATTTTTTATTCCTTAAGAAATAAAAATTACTCTATATTATCAAAGTTTATGTTAAACTGATTCGTAGGCTCATTAAACAAGCCAGTTCATGACGAGCCTGAGTTTCCTGATTTAAGCTCGCAATGAACACAAACCGAATCTATTTACCTAAAAAACTAAAACATCTGGGATATAATAACAGTAATTTAGTATTCATTTGAACAGTGAATAATGTACCGTAGCTCAGGATTTTTTTTTTAATTTTTAAGTTGTTTCATTTTGGTCCTTGAAAATTTAAAATAAAAATTTTAATCGCCTAACTTATGCACTACACATGTCTTTTCTTTTCTTTTTTCTTTTTCATTTGGTTTTTATTCTTTGCTTTTTCCCTTCAATTTATGTTCTTTTTTAATTTAATTAGGTGTTAAAATTTTAAAAAATCATTTTTTCCTTTGCTTTTTTTCATCAATTTATGCTTTTTTTTTTTAATTGGGGATTAAAATTTTGAAAGATCAATCATAAATTGTTTTCACACAAACCGACGATTATATAATATATCTTTTTATATTTTAAAATTAACATATACTTTAACTTATATTACTCTTATTATTTAAATTTCATTTTTTGAATTTATTGTTATAAAATAATGAATGTCCATTTACTTTTCATATCCCCACTACTCATGATTCTTAATGTGATTCAATTCATCATTCAACATGAGAAATTAAAAAGGGTGATGCAATTGATGTACTTTTAATTATTCATAGTCCCTTCCAATTCTCATATCAATTTTGAGGCCTATAAATAAGCTTAATTATTCATTTGTTGATGTACAAGTTTTTAGAGAGATTAAGAGAATAACTTGAAGTTTTTCTCACTTGTATTCACTTTATAGTGAATTCTTCTTTTTGTCATCCTTCTTTTAATTCCTCATATTACTTTTATTTTTCATAACATTTATCATTTTTTTTATGAAATTCTCATCCAATGAATATTTTTTTACATAAAATTTTATTTACTGATATTATATAATTAATTTTTCTCGTTGTTTGAATTTTAAAATAAAATTTAAAAACATGATTGTTTTTTTTAAAAAATAAATAAATTGGCATAATATGTATCATGAATTCTTAGAATTTTTAAATGATAGTTGCATATATATATTTTATTCTAAAAGCTTAAAAGTGTATTTCAAATAATTTATCTCAGTTCATTAGATATGGTCAAAACGTATAAAAAATTTATTGAATTATTGATTTTATTAAAAATTAATTATACATCTTCCAACATAATATAAATTATTTACAATAAATATTTTTTTTAACATTATAGAACCAATTTATTTGGAATAAAATAATTAAAATATTTTTTTAAAGGAACTAAAAAATTATTCAAATACTGCTTTTTATGCTACTTTTATTGATTATTTTTTAAATAGATATATATAGATCAAATGCATATACTTGAAAAAAAAAATCTTCTCACTAACATTAAATAAGAATAAAATTTTATTTTTTCATTGGTTAATTTTTATGCAAGCTTATACATTTATTGTAACTTTATTTTTTGTATAAATTCTTATAAAAGAATATAATTTTAAAGTATTTTTTTAATTCTTAATTAATATTTTAGGTTTGAATTATTACAAGTTTTTATTTAAGAATCCCCGAATAATGAAGAATAAATCATTTTTTTAAGTAGAAATTTTATGAAAAACCCACAAAAAATATTAATAATTAAAGAAAAAATTAATAAAAAAATTATAATATTTTGAAATGATTTTATTCTATTTACCCGTAGCATTGCGTGGATAATTTCAAAAAATAATTTTCTCATCAACATTAAATAAGAATTTTCTTTTCATTTGTTAATTTTTGTAAAAATTTGTACATTAATTGTAAATTTATTTTTTGGAATACAATATTGTAAAAACTATATTTTAATTTTTTTAATTCTTCATTAATATTTTAGTTAAAATTATTTAAATTTTTAATTTTAAAATCACTCCATAAAGAAGAATGATTTATTTTTTTAAGCAGAAAATTTATAAAAACATTGAAAAAATTAGTTAAATAAAATATTATAATTAAAAAATTTTAAAATTTTTAAAATAATTTTATTCTATGGAATCCGCGGTGTAGCGCGGACAACCAGCTATTCTTTTCTATAATTGGACTGGCTGAGCTCGAACGCATCAAAGTTCTTCTCAGCTCGGCTCGGCTGGACTCGTTTGCAGCCGTAAATTTGACACAGAGAATAAATAGGCCCTGGTCATATTGTTGTGCTGGTAAGAAACAGTACGGGACTCCTAGCTCATGGCCCATAACGATAACACGGCCCACAAATACATGCTATCACTTCTGTCTGATTTCATGCTTTTTGTTGCTCAATAGGGTCGCTTGGACAAGACAAAATTGAACAAACAAAAAGTATTTTTTCTTTTCTCACTGCTTTGCTTCGACGTGTATTTTAATATTATTTATAACTTTATGTTTTTGTCGTTTATTTGCATGCCTCTTTTTCACCACTTTTTGGATATCAAAAATCACTTCGAAAAGTTGCATGTAGATTGGAGATTGGTGTTCAAGGCTAATAATTAGCTCTTCTTTTCTGAAATACCGCTTGTGTTTTGGAGTAAAGAAAGAGTTCCATTATTGCTTTCCTTCACCATACTTATTATGCAGACTTCACTGGATCTGCAATGATGGCCCGATGGGCCAATGATGAAGCAATCGAGACTGGGTCTACTTTCTTTAAAATGGGCCCTGCTATTGAACTACTTAATCTAATCTGCTTCCAAATTTCCCAATGTTAACAAAACAACTTAATTTTAAATAATGAGATTATCTATTTTTATTTATTTATTTATATATATATATCTCAAAATATTTGTATGCTCAAAATTTTAAATAATTTATTTTCTTAAAATACCTTTAATCGATAAAGATTATCAATTATTTCTTCCATTTTTTGTACTTCACTAACAAAAAAAAATATATTTTTATATTTTTTTCTTATACATACAAATACTTTTAATATAAAAATTTCAAATAAATATTTTTTATTACATGAAAAGTATTCATTTTTATAGAGATTTTTCTGCATGCCTAAATTTTGAGAATAAAATATTTCGATTAGTATTTCATGTTTTCATAATTTTTAAATGTAATTGTAATTGACCTAATGATTTTTCTTTTGATTTACCATTTTAATTTTGAATTGATTTTTTTTTTAAAAAATAATTTTGGTTCTATGTAATATATAATTAAATTTGATAACTAATAACTTTAACAAAAATGATATTTTAAGAAAGTATAAATAACAAATACGGATACACAATAAGATAACAATTATACTAATAAGATAATAGTGAAATTTGTATTTTGAATAGAAGTCTTTTATATCATCTGTTAGTTCATATGTTTTCAAATGTATATTTGTAACTTATTTATATGGCAATACAACAACACTAAGTAAGTGTTTTTTATTTGATCTCTAGTCTTCTACATGGTATGAGAGCAATAATAGGCTTAACAACCAATGATTTATTTTTCTCTATTCTTCAATATATATATATATATATATATATATATATTTCAGACATGCGAGGAACCCTTGCTTCAACCTCTTTAGTTGTTGTTGCTTCCCATTAACTATTACCTTCCCTTTCTTCACAAAGTCTCTCCCATCAAACAACCATCAAACTTAGTTCCATAAATTTTCTTCTCTAGCAAAAACAAATTCTTTCCCTTATAGGATGACATAATCTCGTTCATCACATTGATGGAACCAAAGAAACTTTCTCTCTCTCTCCAACCTTTACTGATAATACTCTTAACTCATCTCGGATTGTTAGGACCAATTAGTTCTCAGCTGGATTATTTCTTTCCTGTCATGACTCAGGTTGTTGGTGCAACTACTATCAATGAAACATGGAAAAATTTTATTGTTGCCTATGCTTCTAAATCAAAGACTTAAGTTCGTCATCTCAAGGCTCACCTTAGTCAACTTTGATGTGACAATGATGATATTCTAACATACATACAAAAAGCAA